ATCAGCTGTAGGCAATAATCAATGTGCTGTCAAAGGAACTGAATATTTTCTTACTTAGACAAGGAAAAGAGACCATTGTGCATGTGGTGTGGTAATGTCTTACTGAACAGATGATGGCCTTGAAGAAAAATACTATAACTAACAGGATCCTCATACATTAAATGTTCAGCCAGACCCTGCTGTTTGTGTGTCTTGTATTTTGATGACTAAAAAGCATAAAACCACCAAACCACACCAAAAGGCCAAATAAATCATCAGTCAAGCCCACATGTCTGTGACTAACTAAGTGGGACCTTTTAGCCCTTTGTGAATACTTGTGTTGACTGTCGACATTTGGTGGGAAGACTCCAGCTCAGACAGCACCTCTCTCAGTTGAAGACCTCAGGCTATTTATGGCACGCGCTCTTCGCACCGTGTTGCTATTAGGCCCACATTCCCTCATGCCGTAACATCCTCTTATGCTCTTCTGACCTGAGCCAAGTAGTGCTCGGAAATATCTCCTGTGTAGTTGCAATCCATACAGTGCACGATGGACTATCTGTGCAATACCTTACAACACAGGGAGAAGGAAAGTTTATTTTTATAGCACAGTTCATACTCTTTAAAACAAAGTGGAGGTAAAATAGTAGTAGAATAGTAAAAGGCCTTGTTTATTCCTGATTGGGGTGGCAGGCAAAAGTCTTAATCAATGAAAGATGCATCATGATTCATGTAACCAAAGATTACTGTATTTAAGTTGAGTTAGGGCTGCTCGATTATGGAAAAAATCATAATCATAATTTTGGGTCAAAATTGAAATCAGTTATTCAAACGATTATTTTTCTAAACTCACGAAACAATGCTGCATCTTATGGACATTTTGTCATAACACTTTAAGAAGTCCTCAGTGACGCACGCTCTTCCGTTGTTCGCGCCCAGTGACAAACATTTGTAAGTCTCCTCGTTACCTGTTCAAACGAAAACAACGTGACAGGAGAAGACTGCAGCGAGTGTCGCGACCACCAGCGACAGTATAAATAGTGACGGTGCTCCTGTGACTTCACATTGTCGTGCGACAGGTCAGGAACGGCGAG